ATTTCTCCTATCTCCCTCTTCACTCAGTATTCTTACTGTCCCTAACTTTGCATGCAGGATTGTTATAACCATGTTGATCCCAGGATATTAAACAGACAAGCAGTGACATAATGTGTTTTTATTGGACCAGCAACTGTTGGTGAGAGACACAAGCTAGTGAGTTCTTCAGGTCTGTGTAGATCAAAAGATTGTCTCTTATCAGCAGATGTTGGTCCAGTAAAAGATATTGCCTGACTCATCTTGTCTTTGTAACATCCATAACCTTGGCAAGTCTGTTGCAACTCCCTTCACTCTATCTCCGCCGTCATCAATATCAACCTTCTTGTATCTCACTGCCACTGTTCACACTCCAATGATTTTGAAATCTTTTTTGAAAGCATCTTCCCTCCCTTTGATTCACTCATATATATTTAACTCTCAAAAATATTGTGGTGGCACTCAAAATAATAGGCCCAGTACTCTCATAGAAGGGAACAATCGTTGCCTGAAAGAACCTGAAAAAGATACTGTCTTTCAGAAATAAATTCCCAGCTGGTCCCAAGCCACTGCCTCAAATACCATGAACTATTGATTTGTGAGCACATTTGTGAGTACATTTATGGGGGCACAGACTTGGAAATCACAGCAGAAAAAGTGGCCCAAATAATAAATTAATCCTTGTGGTTTAATGAGAGAAATCATTTATATTTATCTATCTCACCTTATGTCCGAGTACTGATTTTAATTTTAATACAAATGATTTTTTTTCAAATTAATATAAAAACTAACCCCTCCTACTAAACTAGTGGTTTAAACTTGCGAGTCGCAGATCCCTGAGAGTCCACAAACTTTTCCAAGGGGATCCTCACCTCCATTTGAAATTGTTTAGGGGTCTATAAATGGGGAAAAAAATATGAAAACTGCCCTAACCTAATTTGAAAAGAACTGACATTTATATATGAAAAAAAGGAGACCCACTGGGCCTCTAAATATGCAGCTGTGTAATAAGTGCCCATTTTGCACATGCAGAAAGCCATTTTTGTATGCAAGCAGGCAGTCAGGCAAATACACACCCTCTGTACACACTTGTGGTCTTGCACTTGACATTGGCTGCAGCAGCAAATATTTTGGATGCTGGTTGAGAAACCTTGAGTAATAATACAACAGGCTCTTTCATAATTGTGTATGTAGTGCAGTAGCCCTATGGATACCTTGTTACTAGGGCTGGGAGTAAATATTATGCAAACTAAATATGAAAATAACATCCCTAGCTATATGAAGTGTTTATTTGACAAGAGTACTATGAACTAATAATCAAGGGAGGACTTCGGGGTTCCCTGGGGGAAACCTGTAATCTAAGACAATGCCAAAGAAAACAAAAGCAGTGTCATAATTAATGACACTCTTCCTTCTTGCATCCTTCTCTTTTTTTCCTGACTAGGACCTATAAAGGTAATTTCCAAAACATTTTTGTTTCCCAAAGAGTAAAACTGAAGAGTAAAATGTAGAGTCAGATATTCCCACGAGTCAGGAGTGTAACAGAACACAAAAACTCTTTGTAGATGTCTGTTTAATATTTTTATTAATATGATTGATAGCAAAGTCCAACGTTTTATAAACTTACATTTTCAAAAGATAATTATCCAGGACTTGTTGCTAACCCACATTGAAAGGATCTTTTTTGATTATACCAAGTTGCCAAAATGTAAACTGAACAGAAATGCATATGAATCACAATCCTGTTATCAGAGCTGGACAGGTGGCCCCTTGAACCTACCTGGATCCAGTTGCAGAGCTGAGGCCTAAATATGTTTGATCTTGAAGCCCTAAATTCAGAACTAATTTTGCCAAGCAATAGTATTTTCACATAAGGCATTAAAAATCCCAGTGACGCTGTATTTTTAAGAGATCTATTCTGGTTGTCTTCTATTGTAGGGACTAAATGTAGGAGGTTCTGAGTACCATCGGCCATTTTCTTCTGCCTCAGCTGACTTCATCGGAGCTGAGGTGGCTTAACACCTGTAATTTGTGAAGGTTCTCCCAAGTAATGGGTTTTGATGGCTAACACATAACAAACTTCACCATTTGAGAGAGTGTTTTGTGGAATTTTTTTTTTTTTTGAATACTCAAGCCTATTCTAAAAAAAAAAAAAAAGTGAAGTAAATTTTTGATTCAGCCTTATTTTTAGATGTAGTGGATTGAACTTTTGGGTTCATTTTCCAAAACGGAACTTCACAAACAGCAAAAGAAAAAAATTAAACAATAGGCCCTGATCCTGCAGAACCTAAGCATATGTAACTTAACTCTTGTTACTCCTAATTAAGTGCTTACATGTTTGTAGAATTAGAGCCATAGTTTACAGTGTCACATTTTGACAAAGTCCTGTCTGCTACAAGCAATCAGCAATGAATGACTGTTCTGATGTTTAAAAATTGGCCTCAAGTACTGTCGCTAAGCTGCATAGCATAGCTAAGCCATTACTGATATACTATATACCTATACTTATGCCTTCCTGACATGAGAAATAAAATAATGGTAGTAGATCATGTGGAGCTCAAAACTGGATTCCAGCAGCAGACTGAAATGTTTCTGAATATTTCTCAGCATCACTGAGTTGTCTGCCTTCTTTCTCCTGTCCTCTCAGCAGTGTGGGGATGGGGAAGGTTAGAACTGCAAGTTTCAACAAGATAGATTCACTCTGATGCTCTTGAATATACTTTTTTTCCTGCTAACCTGGATCAGTTTTAACAATGCATTAGCTTAAAATAATAAGCATGGCCTTGAAAACTGATTGAGTGTTTATGATCCTCCAGTTGCTTAACAAACTGACTAAATTTTCACAAATATCCCTGTGAGGCGGGTCGGTATTCTCTCTGTTTTACAGATTGGGAACTAGAAAGGGTGATTTGTCCAAAGCCCCGAGGTATAACGCCAGAATCAAAACTTAGGAGTTCCTTGTTCCCTTCCTGTGCTCAGATCGCTAAAGACACCCTGTGTGTTGGGATTTGACAGCTGTGCAATTTTTATATTTCCTCATGTTATGCATAATATATTAGAAAACCAGGCCATCAGTCCCTCCAGCATGCTACATAACATCTCAGTTTCCTAAATAGCTTGCCACCTACACAGGGACTTTCTAAGCAGACCAAGCTTAGCTGGGAAACATACATGGCTTGAGTTTTTTTGTGTTGTAGTGGCTGGCTACATTAATTTCTATACTTGCTAAGATCCCTTCTTATTTGATACTGCTAGTCCCAACACATCACTAGGTCTACCCTGTGGTACTCGCAGTGGGCACTAGTGAAACCACAGTTGTTGCTGCTAATGACTATGAGGGTCTGTTCAGGTTCTTATCACCCTCACTGTAGTATGTGAGTGCTTTCTAGTAGTGCATTAGTTAGGGTGACCACTTGTCACTTAGTTAACTGATTTGTCTCTTAAGGTGACCACCAATCCCTTAACCATTTTGAACTTTAAATTGAAGCTCATGGTAATTGCCTTGTATGCTTGACAACAGAAATGTGCACTTGCAAGAAAAATATATGATATGCAAAGAGAAATGGTGTTTCCATAAAGTGTCCCTTTAAATAGTTTTTTTCCCCATATTGCTCACGTGGCTTTCCTTTATTTCCCCCAACAAATGGTCACCAAAGTGTGAGGTAATGCAGCTAGTCATGGTTGGAGGGCTAACTGCACCTGTGTTCCCTTTGTGATCTCCCTGAGTGCAGCCTGCAGGTGTCAGGCCTAAAGCCTTTACCACTCCTGGGGTAGAATTCCACAATTTTGTTACTTCAAGAGCATGTCTACGCTGCCCCCACTGTTCAGACTACAGGGGCATGTAGATTAGGTTACCTGGCATAGGAAAATGAAGCGTTGATTTAAATAATTGCCGCTTCATTTAAATTTAAATGGCTGCCACGCTGAGCCGATCAGCTGTTTGTCGGCTCAGCGTGGTAGTCTGGATGCTCCGTGGTCGACATCAAAGGCATTTGTTGACCTCCCAGGTAAACCTCATCCCAGGAGGCATACCTGGGAGGTTGACAAATGCCTTTGATGTCAACCGCGGAGCATCCAGACTACCACCCTTAGCCAACAAACAGCTGATCGGCTCAGCACGGCAGCCATTTAAATTTAAATGAAGCTGCGATTATTTAAATCGACGCTTCATTTTCCTATATCAGGCAGCCTAATCTACATGCCTCTGTCGTCAGAGGCATGTAGTCTAGACGTACCCCCTGAGTGCAGCCTGCAGGTGTCAGGCCTAAAGCCTTTACCACTCCTGGGGTAGAATTCTACAATTCTTCTTCGAGTAGTGTCCCACTGTTCAGACTACAGGGGTGCGAATAGCTGTGTGTACCACGATGCGGGGCTGCACAACTCCCCTATGTGTGAACTAAAATAACCTATTTTTGGAGCCCTGTAAATATGCGGATATCAGCTTCATATCCGCAGGTATCCTCAACCATGGTTGCAGATATCTGCAGCTCATTTTTGTGGATGCGGATACAACATTTTGCAGGACTATCTATCTTGCATTAATGTAGTCTTGGCTGAAGAGGACTAGGTTAATGAGAAGAAGATGCCTTTTAGCTCTGTACTGCAACCTCCATATCCATTTGGGAGAGATACAGTACAGCATTTTGGGGGAAACAACTATTCCTGTACTTTGTGTGTCAACCCTGCTTACCCAGCAGGTCTGACCTGGTTAGGCACCTGGAATTATTTCCTTGGGGAGTCTGTAGCCACTGGTATCTGCATAATGACTGGATAGGTTTTGTAAAACCAGAGTAATGTTTATTCTGACAGTAGACACAAAGCACAAGTCAGAGATAAGTATTTTACAAACAGCAAATAGACCACACACATTGATGGTAAGACATATTTCATCTAGCCTCAATGAGTTCCCATGTAAGTCTCATTTCTCTATACAGTTCCTCAACAAGTTCCTCCTTCCACGAGATGAGAGTTGCTTAGAGCTAGAGTTCCTTTGTTCTTGTCAGTTCCCAGACTTTTAGCCTGTTTGTCAAAAGCAGTTAGGTCAGCTTGACTGGGGATCAAGGTATCAGGGTATGTCTACACAAAGTTATTTCGGGATACCAGAGGTATCCTGAAATAGCTACCCTGCGTCTTTTGAACGCATCCACTATTCCGAAAAATAGCAGATGCACTATTTTGCCATCCCTGTAAACCTCATTGTACAAGGAGTAAGTGATGGCTCGAAATAGCACTTTATTTTGAAATTTGATGCTGTGTAAATAGATTTGAAATAAGCTATGCAATTTGCGTAGCGCAAATTGCATATCTTATTTCGAGTTTAGGGTGCTGTATAGATGCCCCCTCTGAGCCCATGGAGCTTGCTGAGTGGTGGTTATTCTTCCATTCTTGATTGCCTTTCTTTATAGCCTACTATTATAAACAATATAATTATACAATAAATATCCCCAAAAAACAAATCAGTGTACAAAATTTATAAATCATTTTAGAGCAGTTCCACTTCTCATAAGTAACATGTCACACAGTTCTTTCTTTTCCTCCCTCCTAGAGCCAGCCCAAGGTGTACGGGCCAACCGGGCTACTGCCCAGGGTGTCCCATTGTAGAGGGCACCACGCAGGGCTGCTGGGCCGGGCAAGGGTGGCACCACGCATGCTCTGCGCGCCCGGGGGTGGCGCCACGCATGCTCTGGGTGCCTGGGGGGCGGGGCCACGCATGCACTGGGCACCCGTGGGTGGGGGGTTGCCGTGTGCCTAGGGGCGGAGCCAAGCATGCATCGCACTCCCGGGGGGCACCACGCTCCTGAGGCCCGGGATGCACAAATGGCTCAGGCTGGCCCTGCTTCCTTCCCGAGGGAAATTGTGTAAGTATTTTTTAAAGTGTAATATGTACAGTATTCCATATATTTTTATTAATTAAGATAATTTGGAGCTGAGGTTTGAGGTGCTTCTAAGTCCCTGTAGGGGTCTTGGAGCAGCCTCAAGCAATCTCTGTCTCCTACATCGATGAGTATTACTGTTGACGTTGACTACAGTTCTCATCCTAGAACTTACCATGATCCTTAGATCAGTGTTTCTCAAAGATGAGTCCATAGACCTGTCCCAGTCTCTGAGATCCCCCGGACAGTTTAGAAAGCCAGCTAATCAGTTCCTGTTATCGTAAAGATTGAAAACACTGCGTTAGATTTCCTTGGATCAGGCCATTGAGCTTCTTGAAGATAAGGAGCTTCGGGGGTAGGACAGGTTTGGTATGCATGTAGTAGCCCAGGCATGTCAAACTGGCATCTGGAGGTCCACATGCGGACCGATCGAAATTTTTTGCAGCCCGCCAGTACATTTTTATAAAGGAACAAAGTACGGCCCGCTGGCCCCTCGGAGCATGTGGCCTAGTGCAGATCACAGCCAGGCAGACTGCTCTGCGCCGCAATGACTGCTCACTGCCAGGGCCGCTCTGCACATGGCACCCACCACATGCTCATGGCCGGACTGGCTGCTCTGTGTTGGGCACTCTGCGCACACACTCACAGCCAGCTGCTGTGCTCATGCCACCCCAGCGCACCTGAGGAAGAAATGTGTGGCAGCGACACTGGGTGGTGGGAGTGGCCACTTCAAAGTTAAGGTTACCCGTACCTCTGGTGCCTGGCTCTGGGGAAGGGGTTGGTGCCTTGGGTTAGAGCGGGGGATGGAGAGGCTGGGGGGGCCTGGCTCTGGGGGAGGGGTTAGGTTGGGAGGGCCTGGGAGTGCCTGGCTCTGGGGGAGAGGAGAGGGTTATTTTGTTAATATTTTGTTTTGTATTTATTTATTCCCAAATAAAATCACAAAATGTATATTAATTTTATATCAATAAATGTCATTTTTTGCAATTGCACAAATAATTATATGTTTATGCAAAATCTCAAACTTATAAAGTATCTGAAAATTTCACAGAAGCATGTTCTATTTGATTATCCATGGTCTATACTTGTTTTGATTTCAACAAGTTATATATCATAAAAAATTTAAAAGTACCTTACATTTATATTTAAATTTCAAATTATTTTATATGAGCAAATAATTTTACACATCAAATTATTGTATTATATTAAAAAAAGTCCTGAAAAAATATTTTAAAATATACCTAAAACATAATCTATAATAATAAATAATTACAACTTTCTGATAAAGTACATTTTCTTTGGTGGCCCTGAAAGCTATGAATTTTCGTTTGTGCGGCCCTCAGTAGGTTTCGAGTTTGATATGCCTGTAGTAGCCGGTATTGTTGTGGAGGTGTACTGCAACATCTTTGCTCACTGAAGCTTTCTAAGAATTGATAACCAAGTAGGTAGCATTGCTATAGTTGCACTGGGGGACAAAGATGTGTTACAGATCCTGGGTCCTCATTTCAAAGATGTAATCAAACAAGTAGCTGTAAAAGATAGAATGCCTTACTGTAGACACTGCTATGTAAGAGCTTTGTGTCCGTGAGGAATCCAGGAATACTGAAATATGGATTGAATTGGTCAGTTGTGGTTGTGTATTGTCAACCCAAGCAGATGGCACTGTAGCTTAACAAACTTCTACCAGCTGAGCTCTATTTTTCTTGCCCAGACTCAACTTCAACCCACTATTCTTCTTCATTGATGCACTTATCTTGACCAAATACTGGACAAGCTTGGTGACAGTAGAGTTGTCATATGTTGTTAAGGACAAGTAGAACTGTTCCCCCTCTGGATATCTGTGGCACTTGAGTCCATTATTTCTCACCAGTTTTCTTAATAGGTGCCTATAGATAGTTAATAAGAATGGGGAGAGAATCTTGTGGGACTCTACAGGCCCTGGGGCTGGTGACCACACCATTATAACTCTAACCAGATCAGACATAATTAGTGGGGTCCATCTTCTAACATCCTTTGTTGTTTGTAGTGTGGATAGGAAAGCATTGCTCTATATCTGTACTGTAGCCTAAACTACCATGTTATAAATTAGGCTCCTTGTATCCTCACATCTTCCCCTTGGCTATAAACTTCTTCTTTGGGAATGTGCAACATACCTCAGCTCGCATGTGACCAGGAGTCAACATTGAATTTGGTCCATTGGGTGGATCATTAACTTCCCTGATTTGGACAAGGTATTGACAGGGAGTGCGATGTGAATGCTGATCGATGTCCCGACCCACCCCAGCCAGAAGCTGGCCTGTATTATTCAATTCACACATTTCTGTGTCCGTATCAGAAGAGGAACCTTAGCTCCACAGCACTGTGATAATCAATGCCTGACATAACCAAGCCTATCTCTCTTCAGACCCTGAGCAGAGACATTTTGAAACATTTTGTTTGAAAAGCTGCATGCAAGCAGTGGAATTATGTATGACTGTGCATATAACTGTATGGTCAAAAGGTGATGCTACTTGATTCGATTTCTAAACTATTGGGAATGCAAATTAGGGACAGGTGCTTTGCAGAGCAGAACATTCTTCTTCCAGTGCTTGCTCATGTCCATTCAACATAAGTGTGTGTGCTCACCACATGCAATTGTGCCAGAAGATTTTCCTTCAGATTTCCCTTTCCATAGGGACCTAAGTCTCAATAGCGCGCACAGGCTGTGCTATATAGGGTGCTCCCAGTCCCCTCCCGCCTCAGTTCCTTTTGCCGAAAAAACTCTTGACAGTGGTGACACAGGGTGGGAGGTTGAATGGACATGAGCAACACTTCTCGAAGAACACCAGAAATAGAAACAGGTAACTGTTTTTCTTCTTCAAGTGCTTGCTCATGTACTAAATAACTTTTTGTAAAATTTTGCAAGGTTTGTCTTAATCATCAGACCCTAAGTTAGAAAGCAAGGTGGGAGGAGTGGGAATATCCCCTTAGATCTTCACAATATAAACGTTTATCTTTACCACAGCCCTCATCCTCTCCAAGATGAAAATACGGAGGAAGATGATAATCTTGATGATTCAAATAAATACGTGCCACGTTTGAGCAACATCTGCACTGTGGGATGTATCATCTTCTTATGGCACATGTGCATATCCAGTTAAAAAGGATATTTTTAAATATCTCAGAGGGGTAGCCGTGTTAATCTGTAACTTTAAAAATGAGTAGTCCTGTGCACCTTGGAGACTCAAACTCATCTGAAGAAGTGGGTTTTGCCACGAAAGCTTATGATACTATATATTATTTTTGCTAATCTTTAGGGTGCCACAGGACTGCTTGTTTTTAAATACATTACATATACATTGAGATAGTTGAACAAATTTCATATAATTGTCCAAATAGACCAAGTGTATGTAATGTCTTCTTTATTATTTGTATTTTTGTAATAGCGGAAGTTCTATAGTGCTGAGCTCTGACACCTGCTGGATTCCAAAGAATTGCAGAGCTCAGGGCTAATGCACTGTACTGGAGAGGGAGGACCCTAAACTGAGCATAGAAAGAAATGTTAGAAGTACAAATCAACTGCATCCACTCTCCTGTGCAGGAATAACCTCTATGGGAGATTGTTTAGGTCAATATTTCCTTTTATAACATCTATACTTACTGCAGAAAATAAACCACTTCTGAGCTGGAGAATATGAATTAACCATTGCACAGTATGTGCACAAATGTAAGGAGTGGGGAAAATATTGGTCAAATGCAAGCATTTACATTTAAGTTCAGGTTCCTCAAGGCTTGGGCTCAAAACAAAAGATGTTGTTGCACTGCATCATTAGAGGTGCTGTCTTTGGGTTGCTGTTCCTAGTGACACTCTACAGTCACTGTGCTATTCATCACTAAGGCACTCTATCAAAAACAAATTGCTCATCTCATTCTAACTGAATGAAATAAAGCAAGAAACTTACATGTCCTTTTTCTTACTATTCTTACTACTGAGGAAGCACCAGCGGGCCAGAATCAGAGATTCATGCCCCATTGTTAAGCTAAATTAACTTAAGTTTTTTAGATAACATGTCTAGGTATTATTAGAAAAAGAGCTATCACAAGCTTTAGTATAGAGACCATTAGCATATAAATCTGCCTAAATCCAAAAGCTGTTAGAAAGCACTATTCAAATAATCTCTTGTGATTAGCTATCAGAAGATGAAAAAACACTTTTTAATTAATTAATTAATTAATCAATCCTCAACACATACCTTTGAAGGGTGTGAGTATTATTGACTGCATTTTATAGATTGAGAAATTAGGCACAGAAAAAGTTGCTAAGGCCTGATTTTTCAAAAAGTCAGGTGTGCAAAATGTGTCTAATGCAGATGTGTAATTATCCAAACAAGGTGGATGATGTAAATAGAAAGTTATATGTTTGAACACCTATCTGCATATCATGATCACTCAAACAAGGCAAACACCTCATCTGTTTGTCATCAGGCCCTAAACTACTTGCCCTAGGTCATATAGGAACTATACCTGTCTCTGAGCTCTTAAGAGTACTGTGAGGTAAGGTGTTGAGTTTCATTAGTGAGTCATTCTCATGACATTAGAGAAACTGAGATTACTATGCTTTCAAATAAGTATTTAATTATCTTAGTCATGGCAATGATTCATTGCTTCAAACTCAACATATTTTTTAAAAAATCCCTTTCCAGATACATTTTTCTATTTACCTATCACTTTGAAATTGTGAATACTTTTCCATGATGGTTTTTGTTGTACTTCAGTGAAATCATACTAACACCTCTTTCAGAAGAAAACAAAGATCCATAAATGAGTCAGTAGCAAGAAATTTTGATACTAGATTTTTATTTTTAAAATTGCCATTGAAATAACTTCAGATACTTTTGGGTTATTAGATTTGATTTAAAATGCTCAGTAAAAGAGTGATTTCCATTCATAATACATTTAATATAGAACAGACTTTATTATTTCATCATCCTTCTAGTGTAACTTAGCTGTAACACTGCTGGGCTACGTCTAGACTGGCATGATTTTCCGCAAATGCTTTTAATGGAAAAGATTTACGTTAAAAGCATTTGCGGAAAAGAGCGTCTAGATTGGCACGAACGCTTTTCCGAAAGAGCACTTTTTGCGGAAAAGCATCCGTGCTAATCTAGACGCGCTTTTGCGCAAAAAAGCCCCGATCCCCATTTTAGCCATCGGAGCTTTTTTGCGCAAAACAGTACTGTGCTGTCTACAATGGCCCTCTTGCGCAAATGATTTGCGCAAGAGGGCTTTTGCCTGAACGGGAGCAGCATAGTATTTCCTCAAGAAGACTGACAATCTTACATGAGATCGTCAGTGTTCTTGCAGAAATTCAAGCGGCCAGTGTAGACAGCTGGCAAGTTTTTCCACAAAAGCAGCAGCTTTTGCGGAAAAACTTGCCAGTCTAGACACAGCCCCAATGTTTTTCCCCTCGTTCCAAAGATTTTGTCCCTCCTTATGTTTATTATGAAAAACGCTTAGAAGTCTAAAACTGAAATTAAGGTTCTCTTAGGCTACGTCTACACTGGCAGCTTCTTGTGCAAGAACTGTTTTGCGGAAGAGTTCTTGCGCAAAAATTCTTCCACAAGAGCGCATCTACACTGGCATGTGCTTTTGCACAAGAGATGTGCTTTTGAGCATCTATGGCAGTGTGGATGCTCTCTTGCACAAGACCGCTCTGATGGCCATTTTAGCCATAGGGGTTTCTTGCACAAGAAATTCATGTTGCCTGTCTATACTGCCTTCTTGTGAAAGAACTCTTATGCAAGAGGGCTTATTCCTAGTGGGGAGAGGAATAACTTCCGGAAGAAGCCCTGTTTTCTGACGCTGTACTGTAAAGTTACTTGCGCAAGAACGCTTGTGCAGTGTAGACACCCAGCAAGTTTTTGCGCAAGAACAGCTGTTCTTGTGCAAGAAGCCACCAGTGTAGACGTAGCCTAAGGCTATAGTATTAATTCTTATTTCACTGGTGTGAATCAGGGTTGCTTAAGTAGTAGGCTTGCCTAGATTTCTTTTAAGCACACAGAATCATCTGGTTTGTAAAGAGAGCAAATATACATAACAAAAGTCATGGCACATGTTTTGGTCTACCAGTCCAAAACAGTGACATTTAAGAGAGAGAGAAAATGGCTTTGGAATTTGCAGTTCTTTAATCTTACATTTCAGCCAGGGAGGATACTTCTGATGGCAGCAAAAGCCACCACTTTGCTAACAGATGGGGAGACACTGCAGGGGCAGAGAAATGAGATTAAATATTAATTTGTTCTTAATGATCTCAGTGTAGAGTGCAGACAAATTATCCAAATACATGTTTTCTGTGTGTGTCAATTTTCTGTTCTGATACTCTTGTTGTGCAGATGATATTTTACAAAAATATTTACTGCTAAAGATGCGTGTTGCTTATATTATGTAGAAATAAAATGTGTGCTTAACAGACTGCTGAATTGGTTAACTTTTTAACTAAAAGTGTAGTTTTTAAACTTCCAGGCAACGCAGAATACCTGAATTATAAGTACAATACAGGCAGTCCCCGGGTTACGTACAAGATAGGGACTGTAGGTTTGTTCTTAAGTTGAATCTGTATGTAAGTCGGAACTGGCGTCCAGATTCAGCGGCTGCTGAAACTGACCGCCAGTTCTGACTTACATACAGAATCAACTTAAGAACCCCACGCGTCCCCAAGTCAGCTGCTGCTGAAACTGATCAGCAGCTGATTCCAGGAAGCCCGGGGCAGAGCAACTCTGCCTCGGGCTTCCTGTAGTCAGCGCTGG